AATACCTGACTCAAAACATTGAAAAAGCTCTTTGCAATAAGCCACAAAAGCTTGCTGAATTTTTGATTCGGAATTCCAATTGCTAGTGCATATTTTGACGCATCTGTCTTCAATTTTGTGCCATTTTCCTCAAAACTGATGCCAAAAACGTAATAGACACAGATTTTCACTTCTCTCTCTCTCTATACTCATCTTTTCTCTCCCTTCTCTCTATAAACACACCCAAATCCAAACTTTTCTATAAGATTTAGCTCAAATCTTCAAGAATTTGAGAGGGCTTTTTATACCAAATCAAAGAGGGCGATGAGGACTACGTTTATAACCAATTGGATCGAGTTTTCGCCAACTTCGAGTTCTAGAATTTTCTTCCTCTTCATCTCCTAAGCTTGAAGTAGGGATAATCTTAGAGTTATATATTTAGTTTTGCAAGATTATGGTTGTTTGAATTATTTCTTACACGTTTGAGCTATAATTTTGGGTTGGTGAACCCTAGATGATGTTAGAAGATGATTTTATCTTTTTTCTCAAAACTTTTGAGAATATGAGCTATGTTTTAAGGTGTGGGTGTTGTTTTGGAAAAATCTTTTCAAAAATGAAACAAAAACCATATTTTTGTGAAAACCTTAGAATTTGGAAATTTTAGAAAAAATTTGAGATATTGTGAAATTGATGCTTAATAATTTGTTTTGTAAGTAAATGATAGATGAAATTTCTATAATTGTATCAAATGAAGAAATTTCATGAGAAAATGAGAAATTGACTTGGTAAGTTTGAGGAATAGCTTGTTGTTATTGTTTTGGAAAGACCAAATGCCAAAAATGATGATTAATATATGGAAAATGCATGAAGGTTGATATTGTATTATTTTTTCTTTTGTAAGTGTATTATGATGTTACAATGACAAGAGATGTGAGAATTTGATCACAATGGAAAATTGTGTAGTGAAATTGAAAATGGACTATTTTAATGAATTGTACATTTTGCTTCGCTATTCCATTTTATCATGGTTGCAATTAATTTTGAATCTCGTATTGGAAAATTATTGTTTTGAGAAAGGAAATTATTTGTGAAACGAGATCATTTTGGATTTATTTTGGAGTAAATACGTTGGTAAGTCCGGATATGGAGTGTAGTTGGTATTTTTTAAGTTGGCATGAGTGCTTATGTTGAAAGACCGAAAACACGCGTGAAGAAGGTACCACGTGCCTTCTGGTTAGCAACTGATAAAGTGGGGATTGGTAGTGCTTGTAATGCCTAGTTGCAGACACCAACCTAGAGATTACATGAGTTGTATTTACTGCCCATTTGAACAACATTGAAATTATTGAATTGTTAAATTCTCAAATTGCATTGTGCACAAAAGTTTTAAAAGATAAAGATATATGCTTTTTAACATGGTATGACATATGCATTCATCTCAGGAAATTATATAAAATGTATATATTTTGTTAAAATTTTCCTACTAGGTTTTGTGCTCACCCTATGAGATTTTGTGCGGGAAAAGATGTGGTGATCCCGCCGAGTTAAAGGCGTGGAATGTATTTTTGAGAGCACAAGGCTCTTTTCTTTTGTTCTAATTATTTTAACAAGTTAAGGGTTTTATGTGTATAGGTTTGAAAACTATCATTTTGTGTAACCGAACATAAGCCTTGAAAATTGTAGGCCTTGAGGGCATTGAATTGTACTTGATATGTATTGTGCCATATGCTATAGATTCATATTCTATGAATATTAAATATATAACGGCATGTGGAATATTTTTTTGTAATCTCTAGAGTTTAATGAATACACATGTTAGAGATTAATGATGATGTAAATGTTGAGACTTTAATTCCGTATACATTAAGCAATGAAAATTATTGTATGAAAACAAGATTATGTAATTAGAAGTTAATAAATCTATATTACGTTAATTATTCAGGGTGTGACGGCAGCGATATACTCAATCCATCCTCTTTCAACAAGAAAATTATTTTTTTCTTATAAGCTCTAATAGTTGCCATCATGCGAAAATATCTTGTATTTTTGTCCCCCTGCTGCATCCATCTTTGCTTTGCTCTCTGTGCCCGATACATTTCCTGCTTATCCAACAACTCATCCAACTACAGAGATGAGCATCTTTCTCTCTAAAAACAAGAGCATCTCTCTCTAGCCTCTTCCCTTAGGGTTTCAACCAACAGCGCCGTTTGGGAGGGGGGGCTTCGGCCTCCGGCCACCCCTCTCCTCTCTCTCTCTCCCTCTTTTTCTTTTCCTTCTTGTTCTCTGCTCAATAAACCTTGGGAGATCACTCTTCCCAACCTTTTCCTCTTTGTGAGGATTTTTCCCCTTGGTGGAAGTTCGCTAGGTTGCTCCTCCTCCCACCGGTGCCAGATCTGCCATGCTCTTCTTCTCTGCTGCTCACCGTCCCTTCATCACCTTCCCACAGCCAGATCTGCTTTGGATCTAGTTGCCTCTCTCGATCCAGCGTTTCCTCCGGCTTTGAGGTTGTACACTCTAGCTTTCTTTGTTTTTTTTTTGGTTTGTGAGTGCTATATGGAATCCATCGATGCTATTCTGCGGCTTACCCACTCTATGGTGTATTCTATGACCGATCTTAGACATGCTCTATAGCCGATCTTTTTGGCTTCTGCTTGCAGTACGAGCACGAGCACTTGTTGTGTGTTTGAGATTTTCATAGTTTTATACCTGTGTGTTATTTGTTCTGATTTTTCTTTGCTGTGTAAGCTAATCTTTTGGATGGTTTCCTTTTATAAGTGCCGTTTGGCTTGAGTAATGAAAATTCCTTTCTGATAAAAAAAAAAATCAGGTAATGTGGTTGGTATCCTATGCCTTAACAGATTCAAAGACTTGTTTGGAGGTTACCAACAGAGAAAAACAAGCTAAAAACTGATATTGTATTACTGAAATTATTACTCATTACAAAGATTTGAGCAAGAACAAAATCAAAAACACAAAGAACTAGAAAATATTTATTGATTACAAGAATCAAAAAATTATTACAGAACTACTAAATTTAAACTACTCCTAAAGAGAATAAATTACTCCTACAAAACTATTGTAAACTCATGTTGATTATAAAATTTTATAATTTTATAACATTCTTTAAAATTGTAAAATTTTACAGTTTCATAATATATTTTTCAATTTGATTGATAAGTATAAATGCTTAATAGATTTTTGCTTTAAAATTGCAACATTTTACAGTTTCAAAGCTTTTTTTTTATCAATATTGGAGATTATTTGTTTAAATATTACAAAAATTGAAAAATAACATATTTTTTTTCTCCATTGTTACTGTTTTTTGTTACGATTTTTTTTTTCTTTCAGTTTATCAATATTTAGCATATTTTGCTATATTCTTTCTCTCTAATTTCTCCATTTATTTATTTTTTTCAGACAATAGGCTGAACATTTCGGTGAGTCTGCAACGATATTCTTAATGTCCAGCGATCGTTTTGAACATTCTGGCAACTTTCAATAACATTTAGGACACTCCGGCGAATTTCTGGTGACTTTCCGGTGATGTTGAACATTCTGACGAGTCTTCGGTAATCATCTAATAGAAATCTGATGGTGGTGAGATGTATCAGTGTCTTTAAATTTTTTTTTAAAAAAAAATTGGAAGTAATTAAAAATATGTAAAATTAATTGGTGCAAATATTTTATTTTAAAATTAGATGAGTTTTAAATTTTGTATATAGAATTTACCGGTAAGTTTTTTTTTTGGGTGCAAATAGAATGACCCAAGACCTTGATGGGAGCGGGCTAAACTTGGGCCAGGTCATGGGCTGCGACCAAATTTACATGCCCAAGGGCTGGATGTCAATGTACACCATTTCAGCTTTTAAACCCCAAACCCTCTTGTTGCTCTCTCTCTCCCCCCCCTCTCTCTCTCTCTCTCTCTCACAAGTAGCAGGTAAACCCCAGCTGATGGCTCTGCCCGCAGGTACCTCTCTCTCTCTGTAAAACCCTATAACCAGTCAGGTTTGCTAATCTTGGAAAAATGAATTAGTTATTAAAAACTTTCAAGTTCTCATTAGTGAAGCTGAAGACTAATTTCTAATCACACTTGGAACTAGTATTTTCTGCTAAACAACAATCTCTGTGAATGCAAGAACAGTGTCTCCTGTAAATTCCCCCATTGTAACTTTTGATTTTATTTATTTATTAGGGAATCATTAATTTCTTAATAAATTGACCTTGCGAACCATATTGCTTTTGTTTATTGTGTCAATTAGCTGCAAAAATGTGGATCTTTTTTATTTTTTATTTTTTAATATGAGCAATGATTGATGTCTTTAACAAATAATTTGAAGCAGGACCCACTTTAATAATGTGATTGGGCCACATTGGTGAGTAAGAAAAGTTTGTAATTTGTTTTTAGTTTGTATAGCATTACTCATAATTATTGAGAAAAAGTTTGTTTTTTTTGTAATTATTTTAGTTTGTATAACTCATAATTATTAAAAGAGATTATTTGTTTAGATCCTACAAAAATTGAAAAATAACATATGTTTTTTCTCTATTGTTACTGTTTTTTGTTGTTACGATTTTTTTTCTTTCAATTTATCAATATTTAGCATATTTTGCTATATTCTTTCTCTCTAATTTCTCCATTTATTTTTTTTTCCAGACAATATGCTGAACATTTCAGTGAGTCTTCAACGATATTCTTAATGTCTAGCGAACATTTTGAACATTTTGGCAACTTCCAATAAAAGACACTCCGGCGAATTTCTGGTGACTTCCCGGTGATGTTGAACATTCTGACGAGTCTCCAGTAGCCGTCTAATAGAAATCTGATGGTCGTGGGATGTATCAGCATCTTTAAATCTAAAAGAAAAAAAATGGAAATAATTAAAAATATGTAAAATTAATTGGTGTAAATATTTTATTTTAAAATTGGATGAGTTTTAAATTTTGTATATAGAATTTACCGGTAAGTTTTTTTTTTGGGTGCAAATAGAATGACCAAAGACCTTGATGGGAGCGGGCTAAACTTGGGCCAGGTCATGGGCTGAGACCAAATTTACACCATTTCAGCTTTTAAACCCCAAACCCTCTTGTTGCTCTCTCCCCTCTCCCCTCTCGCTCTCTCTCACAAGTAGCAGGCAAACCCCAGCTGATGGCTCTGCCCGCAGGTACCTCTCTCTCTCTCTCTGTAAAACCCTAGAACTAGTCAGGTTTGCTAATCTTGGAAAAATGAATTAGTTATTAAAAACTTTCAAGTACTCATCAGTGAAGCTGAAGACTAATTTCTAATCACACTTGGAACTAGTATTTTCTGCTAAACAACAATCTCTGTGAATGCAAGAACAGAGTCTCCTGTAAATTCCCCCATTGTAACTTTTGATTTTTTTTATTTATTAGGGAATCATTAATTTCTTAATAAATTGACCTTGCCAACCATATTGCTTTTGTTTATTGTGTCAATTAGCTGCAAAAATGTGGATCTTTTTTATTTTTTATTTTTTAATATGAGCAATGATTGATGCCTTTAACAAATAATTTGAAGCAGGACCCACTTTAATACTGTGATTGGGCCACCATGGTGAGTAAGAAAAGTTTGTAATTTGTTTTTAGTTTGTATAGCATTACTCATAATTATTGAGAAAAAGTTTGTTTTTTTTGTAATTATTATAGCATTACTCATAATTATTGAGAAAAAGTTTGTTTTTTTTGTAATTATTTTAGTTTGTATAACTCATAATTATTAAAAAGTTTGTTTTTTTTGTAATTTTTTTAGTTTTTTAAGTTGCGAACCAGCACGTTGGTTTTTAATTTATGGTTGTGCAGTTTTAAATTGATGAAATGGTTCTCAGGAAATACTGACTGGTTAGGAAACAAATCTTGAATTTGGTGACAAGGATGTGAGATTTTGGGTCCAGCTGATTTTTTGAAAAGGTGTTTCACTTTTCGAAATTGAAAATGCAGACACATCTAGTTGGTGCAGGGTTTGAAAATGGAGTAAAAACGTGTATTCCAGAAACAGAAATTCTAAGGCAAGAAGAGTATCAAAAATAAGAAACCGGCAGGCAGCAGGAACAAGAAAGTTGATCTGGGACACCCCAGTGACCTACTGGCCTTCTCCCCATTAATTTGGCTTGGTTTTGAGTCTTGTATATATATGTTGATAAGTAATTGAAATTCTTATCAGTATTTGAGATTTTGGATTATGCTAGGGGAAACAAAAACTTTATACTTTTGGATCCCAATTGCTTCATATACACGTGAGAGCATCGCATTAACCTCAAGAAATAGGAGGTATGTGAATATGAGAGTTGACCTGGCAATCCTCAGTATGTTAGTTTACTGACTCCACTCTACTAGCACTACATTATTGTTTCACCTTGTAACTCTTAATCATCATCTGCAACTACTATTAAATGTATATTGATTATTGAAGCCATTCTTTAAGTGAGTACGTAGATATTTATGCTCAGGCTCAATGTTGATTCAATAACCCTGCTTGGCTGCTCCTTTCTTTTCTTTTTCTTTCTTTTTTCTTTTTTCCCCTTTCGTACTTAGAGTCCATGGACACCTAATTTGTATGATTGCTCATGAATTCTTTTAATAGTTAATTGGCCAACCATCTTAATGGAGCTGGAATGAGTGGGATTCTACAACATTTTTGTTCACCAACTTGTTCTCGTTGAATGATTCAATTAAATGGTTTTATCATAGTTTTCTTTTTCAACTTCTAGTACAATCACCTGAAACATATAGAACAGGGGAACATGTATTTGAAAATAAAAATAATAAGAAATTTTGCTTGACCCTTACTTGCATGAAGCAGGGACGAGGGTGGAGGTGGGAGCGGCAGCATATATGGGAGCGTATATATATTTTATATATTAACTATTTGAATATATTCTTTCTTTTTTTTTTCTTTTTCTTTTTTTTCTGCTTAGTTGTGATTTATGTGTTAAAATATAAATCAATATTATTATAGATTGATTTCAACTACAAATTGTTTTTGTGAAGTATAAATAAATATCATGTAAATAGAAAGACCAAGAATGAGTTTTGAGTTTTTTTTTTCCTTTGAGATTTGTATGTTTGATAAGTTCTATCTTAGTTGGGAGCAAGTTTCTCCCTCAATGGGAGCCAGTTTCGTACAAATTTCTTACCTAGGAGCGCGGAATCGAGTTTCTTACTAAGAAACGTCACCCAACTAGGAGTTCTTGCTGCTATGGCCTGACCAAAATGGATTTTGTTTTATGGCTGACCTGAAGACACTGAAAGCAAGTGGATCACGCTGGATTTGCAAAAAAAACTTGAGTGAATGAAAAGATATTAGTGAAGGCTTAAAAAGTATTAAAACAATGTAGTTTTATAGTGTTAAAATCCACCTACTCTCCACCTACTTCACCCACTTAAACCTACTCCACTAAACCTAACCCACTACAACACTACCACCTCGTGTTAAAATATAAATCAATATTATTATAGATTGATTTCAACTACAAATTGTTTTTGTGAAGTATAAATAAATATCATGTAAATAGAAAGACCTAGAATGAGTTTTGAGTTTTTTTTTTTCCTTTGAGATTTGTATGTTTGATAAGTTCTATCTTAGTTGGGAGCAAGTTTCTCCCACAATGGGAGCCAGTTTCGTACAAATTTCTTACCTAGGAGTGCGGAATCGAGTTTCTTGTTAAGAAACGTCACCCAACTAGGAGTTCTTGCTACTAAGGCCTGACCAAAATGGATTTTGTTATATGGCTGACCTGAAGACACTGAAAGCAATTGGATCACGCTGGATTTGCAAAAAAAACTTGAGTGAATGAAAAGATATTAGTGAAGGCTTAATGCTCATGTTTGATTCACAAGATTAATAGTGAAGTATTAATAATCATATTAAATTAGTGTGGTATTCACTATCCAATTGGATTAATATCCATTGGATTAATAATCCCTCCCCTACCCCATTACTAATAATCCTACAAATTTGTTGAATTAATTATCCGTTGGATTAATAATCCTAAACCAAAATGTTAAAACAAACATAGGATAATTAGGCCCACGGATTAATAATCCCAATCCCATGCTCTAATCCACCCAATCAAACATGCCCAAAAAGTATTAAAACAATGTAGTTTTATAGTAAAATAGATTTCACGCGAAATTTTCATTGGAGCCGGAAGAAACACTCAATGAATCTAATTCATAAAGAAGATAACGGAACCTTGTGGATTATTTATGAAGTTTCCTGTTATTAGTATTTTTATTGCTGCTTTTGTTTTCTTGTACGAGTTAATTTTTCATTTAACATTGCCCTCAATAATAAAATCTTTTTTTTTTTTTTGCTTGTATCTATCTTATTTTTTGTTTACCTGTATCTGTTATCACCCAAATCATTTATTTCTTCCTATTTCTCATTACAGATACAGCAAAGCTTAAAATGTGTATTTCCCAAGATGAGTCAAACAAGATTGTTAAAACAGTCAATGCACATGGAGACGGGCCATTTGATTTTTTGCGTATTCTATTTGGTAGGTTACAATACTATTGTTGAATTTGTAGCCAGGATAATGTTATGTATTTATATTCTGATTAATCCAGTGATGATGATGGACTTGATACATTTTGTTGACGAACAGTGCAATGATATTAGTGATGCATAATAAAGTAGTAAGCTATAATTAAATGGATGAAAGAGATTATTTCTATTATGAATATCCCACCAAGAAATTCATTAATATTATCCTTTAACTTCATGAGATGATTCATATAGACTTTTTGAGTCATGCATCAATAATTATCCTTCATTGTAATGAGTTAGATTTGGGTAAGCAATGAAAAGTTGCCAATAGGTTGAAGCTATGAAGCATTGACACTTCTCCAGAGGTCACGTACCAATGTCCTACACGTGTTAGACATGGACACGGTCGGAGATGCTCTGGACAGGAGTCGGACATGCTGGGACATGTTTGGAACCCATTTTAAAAATAAAAAATAAATAAATAAATAAAAAATTCACCAAAATAGCATACCAAGGTTGATGAATTTGATAAGAATAAATATTTGACATAAAATCAATATAGAATATTAAAAATTTTGATATATAATAATTATATACAATCATATGCTTTGCACATGTCCCGGACATATTGTGTCCCACATGTTTTAAAATTTACGTGTCAGCATGTCCTTGTCGTGTCATGTATCTATGTCATGCTTCTTAGGGTTGAAGTAGAAGACTTAAGTAATTGAATAGAGTAATTTTAGTGACAATCTGAAACTATTATTTCAGTGACAACTTGGACATAATGCTTTTCTCTTGCTTGATTTTTCTTTACCACAAAAATCTAAATTTCTCTTGCATTGACAAAGAAAAAGGCTCATTAAAAATAAAACAAAAAAGGCTCATCAAATAGACTGAAACTTAATATGTGGAAGTAACTCCTCTATTTTTTTTCCTTATGTGTTAGACAAGAAATTCAAAAGAAGAAAAAGGTGAGGCCCAATATACATCAGTTATGTAGTGGCCAAGCAAGGTTATAGAAAAAAACAATAATCATATAACTCCCAGAAAGGAAAGTGTAACAAGAAACAAGAGGTGCTCTTGGGATACAGGGATCTTAATTGCATAATATTGTTAACTTCCCATAGGTCAACATCTTAATTAAGTTACATCTCAGATATCTCTAAATAAGAAAAATTTGGAGGTGCGTAAATGCTTTAGAAACACACAAAAAGCCTTTTTATTTTTTTGGAAAAGTAAAAAGCACAAAACCTTTTAGTATCAGTTTTTCTAATGATTTGTTGTGGGGTTCTGCAGAGGGTGCTATAGCTGGAGGTGCTGCTGGTGTTGTGGTTGAAACAGCTTTGTACCCAATTGATACAATAAAAACTAGGCTTCAAGCAGGTTAAAACTTAAATACTATTTTTATTCATCTATTTTTCTTTATTGCTAGTCCCAGTGTTTGCTAGGATTGTGTGAGAATGGAATTTATTTACTATAAATCCAATCACATTTGTTACAGGATGCAATGATTAAGTTAGTTTTCATTTCATCTAATTGGCACTGGCAGCCACATGCAATTCATTTGATGAATTGAAGCAGTTGGTCGGAGCTGGAGGGAAAAAATTGTTTCCATTATTATCTTGGTACTTGCATAGAATTGGTCTTAGTTCTATGCACGTCAATGTTACTATTGCGTTGTTGCCCCTAATATGTCATTATGTTTTTGGACAAAGTACACTAGTGAAGAAAAAACCTTGATTTATTACATATGTGTTTGGCATAAATGGCTAGATAAGAAATTGATCTTTTACTGTCTTGTTCCTAACATGTGAGATGGGAAGGCTCATCAATCCTTTATAGGTCCCCAACATGCCTTTCTATCTTTCATTTTTTGTCTCTTTCATCGCAAGGATTTTTATGTCATTGGCTTTGCGTGGAATTGATGGGAACAAGCTTCCTTCAGATTTCTAATACTTCTAATTTTTTTCTTTTTGTTAAAAAAAAAAAATGTGTTGACTAAAATGTTCATGGCTCCATTAGGCAGTTCGTGGTGGGGGAAAAATTATTTTGAAAGGACTCTATTCTGGATTGGCAGGAAATCTTGCTGGTGTCTTACCGTAAGTTTTCTTAATTGTAATTATTCCTTTCCACATACTTGTCATCTATAACTAGTTGTGTCAATGTTGCTTGCAAATTTTATCAGTTATAAAAACCTAAGTTAGCTTGTCAAAAATTATGTTGGTGTATGTGTATGCATGCATATATTTTTTGTGTTCTTTTCATTTAGTTTTCAGTTTCTCTTCAGTTTATGAAAAGCTTGTTAAACTTGAAGATGCTAGATGAGCTTAACTCAACTCCACAAGGCCTTATATGTCAAGAACATGTTTTTAAAAATACTAATTTTCATTCACTTGGTGAACTTGTCTGAATCCAATTTTTCCTAAATTCTGACTTTGCCTAAATTTGAAAATCTGAATTTTTTATTTATTATTATTTTTACCTAATTTTTCCAAATTTTGCAGAATTTTAAGTAATTTGTTTGACTTTTCAACTGAATCAGTAAAAAAATAAAAAATGTATTTTTCCCAAATTTTTAATTCTTTTTTTCCCCCTGATTTTGTGATTGTGCTGACATTTTATGAATTTTTGTAAAGTCTGCAAGTTTTAAACCATGCTCAAAAACCATGTGCCCAAGATGAGGTTTTTTTTTTTTAAAATATAAAAATTCTTAGCTCCATTTCTTCTTGAAACTATTACTCTTTTGATCAGATGTCGTCTCATCTTTACCCTCTTTCTTTTTAAAAAATAAAAAATAAAAACTTTTCTTTCACATTTACAACTATGGTAATTCATAATAAGAATAGTTGAAGCCCTTGAGGCATCTATCTTTGCCACGCCACCCAATACAGTACTTTGCATTTTCCTCAGTCATGTAAATACGGAAATTCTGGCATTGGGAGGCAAGTTCTTGATGAACTTTGTTATTATTTGCAGGGCATCAGCAATATTTGTGGGTGTATATGAACCTACGAAGCAAAAATTGCTAAAGAGCTTCCCTGAAAACCTTAGTGCATTGGCTCATTTGGTAAGCATTTGTTAAATTGTTAGCCACCATTTTAATTAGAGGCTTAAGTTGTTAGAGAGAGGGTAAACATTATTATTTATATTGTCAGCAAGTCTCCTCACGTGTGGCCAAACTCTCCTCCATAAGCAGGCCAATCATGTGGCAGTATTATAATTATCAGGGTAGATAGTAAGGTTTGAACACATGATCTATTTTATGTTCTAACAAAAACAACGCCCAATTAGTATACATTAATGTGTATTTGGGAGGGAAAGATTGAGTACACACCTAACCTTTGGCATATTGCACAAAGTGATTGTCCTGTGACTTGAACCCATAACCTCATGTTCTGATATCATGTTAAATTGTTAATTGCCATTTCATCTAAAAATTTTAGTTGTTTGAGAGAGGGGTCATTAATATTTTTATCCTCGACAATTTCTTATCTGAGTAGAAGAGATATGACACAGTTTTGTTGTTTGATATGAATTGGTGCTAGATTCTGTACTAATCTTGCGGTAACTTTGTAACTATAATCCAAGTTCAAATTGCTTAGTCCCAATTTTAAGCACCCTCTGTTTTGAACTTTTATTTTTTGTTTTTTTGCTTTTTTTTCCCCTCTTATGTCTTCATGGCGTAATTAACTTCACTTGGGCATATTCCTGTGATGTTTTCTGATACAATCATATGTATACAAAGTAGGATGGCACATTATGACTAGCAAGGACAGATGGTAAAGCTCAAGCCTTCAATGTCTTCATAGTAGGTGTAAAACCACTAGTGTTGCTGGTGCAAAGGCTCTCTTCTGCCTCTGAAAATATAATTTTCCTTTTTCCTTGTTTCTTTTTTCTTTCTTTCTTTCCCAGTGGGATCAACCTTTGAAAATTAAATAGACGGTATTCAAGGAAGCACGGGTGCGGGTACGAGTACGGTACGGGTACGAGTGCGGGTACGCCGATTCGGCAAAACTCAAAAAAAGTACGATACGGGTACGGCTACGGTACGCCGATATTTTTTTATTTTTTTTTAAATATAATTTTGATACGGCACTATTTTTGAAGTACCCGTGCTTCATAGACGGTATTCCTTTAAAGGAATTTGTTTTCTATGTGCTAATTTGATTTATCTAGTCGCTTTTCTCTAGGGTGATGATTTGGTTATGCTAGTATTGTATGTTGTCGTGGCTCTTATTTTTCTCTGAGGAGTTTCAATGTAATAAAATCTTTGTTTATTAGTTTATAAGCTTTCTAGATTTTATTTAGACTGCAGGTGCTGTTGGAGGGGCTGCTTCTTCTATCGTTCGTGTGCCAACTGAGGTAGTTTAGTTTACTTTTTCAGCCTCCATCTCACAATGCTTCCAAGGCTCATTATTTAATAACTTTGCAGGTTGTTAAGCAAAGGATGCAGACCGGGCAATTTGCTTCAGCTCCTGATGCCGTCCGCCTCATTGTTGCTAAGGAGGGTTTTAAAGGCCTTTATGCGGTGTGTGATGCTTACTTTCCTCAAATTTAAAGTTACCATTGAAGCATTATGTTCCACTTAGTTTTCAGTCTTTTTCCTCCTGGAGGACCATGAAGGTTCTTTATTGTGAAAGTGGGGTCAGGTCTTTGAGGGTGGAGAATAGTATATCATTAGTTTCTCCATGAACATATTGGAGTCATTACTCATATATATGCCTTGTTTGTCTTTGAGATTGTAGGGATATGGATCCTTTTTGTTACGAGATTTGCCTTTTGATGCCATCCAGTTTTGCTTATATGAGCAGCTTCGGATGGGGTATAAGCTAGCGGTAAGCTTACTTTCATCCACATTTGACATATAAATGCAAAACATGGACACATTGATCGGTTTCTTTTACTTGGGAGAAGGGTTGAGGGTTGCACTGGTGTTGTATAACTTACAAATGTGCCACAATGAAAGAAAACGAATGAGTTCAAATATGATACTCATACCAAACCAAACCAAACCATGCCTTAAGTCCCATCAAATGAGATCGGTTGCATGAATCTTTCTTCTCCACTCGACTTTATTCAAGGTCATTTCGTTAGTCAAATTAAGGAGATTCATATCTCTATTTACTACACTAGTCCACGTCAATCTAGGTCTGTCCCTTCCCCTAGCACTACCATCTACCGTCACTGTATCGCATCTCCTTACTACTGCCTCTGTTGGTCTCCGTTGTATATGACCAAACTATCTTAATTTATTTTCTCTCAACTTATCTTCTATCAAATACTACTCCTACCCATTATCGAATACACTCATTCCTAAGTCTTTTCTAGTCTTGCCACACATCCACCTTAGCATCCTCATCTCTGCAATACTCATCTTCTCCACATGTTGTTTCTTAGTTGCCCAACATTCCGTCCCATACAACATCGCTAGTCTAATAGCCATTCTATAAAACTTCCCTTTTAGTCTAATGGGCACTCGCTTATTGCACAGTACAAATATGATAGTCATAACAGGACAAAATAAAAATCGCTTGTACCACTGTTGAGTTGTTTTATTACTTGTTTATGTGAAGCTAAGGAGATATCATTGTGCCTTCTCTTTCTTCCCTCAGGCAAGAAGGGATCCAAATGACCCTGAGACTGCTATAATTGGTGCTTTTGCTGGTAAGTGCACATCCCAAACAAATTTCGAATTTGGGGACTGTCTAGGGTTTCTCAATTTTAATATTTGCCTCTACTCTAGATTTTGGACATGTATATTAGTTCAGAATTTAGTGACAAGTGTTACTATTTGTCATTGTTATTGCTACCTTTAAACTGGAATGGTTAAGGAAACTCGTACTAGTGATGCATATGATGAAACAATGCTGAAATACTCAGAAAGGGAGGACCTCTCCATTGTTATTATGCATCCGAAAGTCAAGTGGTTGGGACAGTTCCCCGTCCTTCAAAAAATCAAAATAACGCTGCCTATCCAACAGGATTGACCCATATTCCTAGTTATTCTTTTTTTTTTCCCCCATCAATATAGATGAATTACTTTTTAAAAATTTTGTATTTTTCCAGTATATGTAGTTAACTCATATTTTCTGTTTAAAAAAAAAATAAGAGCAAAATGTTTAATTACTCTGAGGATCTCGTAAAATCAGTCCCCCCAATTTACAGGTGCAATAACTGGAGCTATAACAACTCCTCTTGATGTGATAAAAACTAGGTTAATGGTTCAGGTAAATTTCATGCATTTTTTACGTTGCTTTTGTTCTATCATCTTCTTCTTCATGGATGGAGGTCATTTTGTGTTCCTTACCTTCCATTCATTTTAAACTTTGCAGGGATCAGGAAACCAGTACAAAGGTATCTTTGATTGTGTTAGGACTATTGTAAGAGAAGAGGGACCTCCTGCTCTTTTAAAGGTAAGACCTTTCCATGCTACACTCTGCCAAATGACTAAAAAACTACACCTAGTTTACTCCCCATTAGATGGGGGGGTCTAGAGGGTGTAAATTGATACAAACCTAACTTTTGGCATAATTTGCACAAAGTGGTTGCCCTCGGATTTGAACCCACAACCCCAAGCTTAGTAGGCCACGTTTTCACCACCGAACCAGTGGCCCCTTGTTACTCTGCGAAGTAACTACAAAATCAAAATGGAGTAGCCATACTAATATTTCATATTTTCTCTCTTGTTATGCTTCCATAGATGGGTGACACCGTGACTTCATTTTATCTTACGCTTCAATAGATGGGTGAGAAATTTCTTTTGCTTTTCTTCACATGGCAATGTTGTTCAAACTTTTGGACGATTATGGTTATTTGAGATGGGGATATCCCCATGTAAATTTTCATGTCAGCTGTTCACATAATCTCGCTGTTTCCATGTTCTTCTTTGTGTTTTTTACTGTAGTCTGATCCAGTGTGGATTACATATCAAACATTTAAGCTTTAAAAGGTTTTGACACGAAATCATACTGTGTGCTCTTTTCTTTTTCCATAAAACTATAGCTCCTTCAAATCATTTTGGGTCGAAAGCAAACTGAATTGTGATGTTCGATTTGGTGTCTACCCATGTGTTATCGATAATGTTACTTTTACCATATCCACAGAAGTAGAAGACCCATTGTACGAACTTCTGACAAATTGAAAGTGCTGCCCAATATGGGCATTATCAGACACAAATGGGAAATGAATTATTTAAAGAGCTATTAAGGACAATTTGCATAATAGCATACTAAAATGTTACTTGTGGATGTTGTGCTGCAGGGAATTGGGCCAAGAGTGCTGTGGATAGGTATTGGGGGTTCAATTTTCTTTGGTGTCCTTGAAAGGACAAAGCAGATACTCGCCCAAAGGCGTTCTGTGGCTGAGAACCCGAATTCCTTCAAGTTGGATTAACAATAGATTCAGCAATTGTCGGTAGATTCAATTCCTCCTTTCTTAAGATCCATATCAGTAAGTTCATTGGAGGAGCCATCTGTCTGTGCTTCTGTGTTTTCTAGTTTTATGCCTTTGTAACAGGCAAAAAAGAAAAAAAAGTAGTGAGCTGTTCTTGAGTATTTTCTTCATGAGATCGATGAATTGAGTATTCATGACTTTGTAGTTTAGATCTATGTTTCGTTACTCAAATTCATCCCCTTTGTTTTTCATGGATCAGCATCATCTTTAATTTTGTTACACCACTAGACCAATAAGCTGTTGGTATGAGAACAGTCTTTGTTTTTTAAAGTGCTTTCATTACGTGTTATTCTAACACCCAAAACTTCTTGTTGACTCCTTGTTATTTTTGGGTTCACATAACATTGTTTTAAAATGTTCAAAATGTTGTGATCTCTGAATGCAGATTGATTTCTCTTCTGAAGTGGCTATATAGACTGATGCCCCTTTCTTTGTTCCCAAAAGGGTAAATTATAAACACACCTGTGTAATTTACTTAAATTACAAATTGTCTCATATGATTTTAGAAATTACATTATGCCCCCTTAAGGTTTTTAATTTCATAACAAATAGGCCCTTTTATTAATAAATCAAGTTAATTAACAATTTTTAATAATGTTAAAATTTTATTTCAATTAATAATTCAGATAATTTTATTAATGTATAGGTGAACAGTTAGAAATTTTGTTTTTTCTATTAATTTTGTTAAATAAAAAATTCCGATAAGGAGGTATTCGTAATTTTTCAAACTACAGGAAGCAAATCATATTTTAAGCAAATTTTAACACGTGTATTTGTAATTTACCCGTTCCCAAATTTGTAAATTTTTTAATAAATGACACCAGTTGTCTACTTACTTTGTTATTTATGTCAATTTGATTTGTAATCTTGATTGTGTTAATTTTGCTTTTCAAAATTTTAATTTATATCAATTTAGTTTAATTAATAAAGAAGCTTTAGTAGTTGTTGTTGTTGTTGTTTTTTTTTTTTTATTGTTTAAATGTAGCTTATTATTGTAAGGCTTTGTGATGGTTTATTATCAGTGGCGAGATTGATTCAACCAAATATAATGTCATTATTGATTAGGTTTGAGATATTATGAGGAGCTTATTATTGTAAGGCTTTGTGATGGTTTATTATCAGTGGCGAGATTGATTCAACCAAATATAATATCATTATTGATTAGGTTTGAGATATTATGAGGAGCTTATTATTGTAAGGCTTTGTGATGGTTTATTATCAGTGGCGAGATTGATTCAACCAAATATAATGTCATTATTGATTAGGTTTGAGATATTTTTGATTATGAGGCTTTGTGGTGGGGGTGGGGGTGGGGGAGCCAATTTACTATCTTAATTTTCAAATTAAGTCTAGCTTGGACAGAATTTCTAAACTAGGCTAAAGCGCTATTACAAATCACGCTTTCACTGTTTGGAGCAGAAAATATTTGATGAATAGTGAAAGCGCTATTACAAACCACGCTTTTAATTAAGAAAGCGTGGTTCCAAACCACATTTTTAACAAAAATTTATTTTCTGAAGAAAACGTGGTTTCAAACCACGCTTTCACTGTGCATATTATTTAAATTTTTTTTCTTAAAAAAAACGTGATTTGCAATCATGCTTTCACTGTGCATTGTTTTTTCTTAAGAAAACGTGATTTGAAATCACGCTTTCATTGTTCAGTACAATAAGCGTGGATCGAAACCACGCTTTTACTGTTCACTACAATAAGCGTAGATTGAAACCGCACTTCTACTGTTCATTTTATTTTATTTTATTTTATTAATTTTTTTTTCTATTGTCATTGTTTTGGTGATGATGTAATTTATAAATTTTTTTTAGCTTTTCTAAAGCCGTTCTCATGTTAAATTTTTTTTTTTTTTTCTTTTGTCTTTGTTTTGGGTTAGAAGGTGTAATTCAGGAATTTCTTTTGGCTTTACTAAAGCCGTTTTCATGTAAATTTTTTTTTTTTCATTTGTTTTTGTTTTGCGTTAGAAGGTGATAATGTAATTCATAAATTTTTTTTAGCTTTACTAAAGCCGTTTTCATGTAAAATTTTCTTTTGTTTTTTTGTCTTTGTTTTGGGTTAGAAGGTAATAATGTCATTCAGAAAACCGGTTTAGTAAAACCATTTTCTAGCCGTTTTGATTAAATTATTTTTTTTTCTTTTTCTTTCGTCTTTGTTTTGGGTTAGAAGGTGATATACATGGTCGACAGTCCGAAGCACACCCAGACATTGCAGTTCGACGAACAACGACGAAGGGTGAGATGCGAAGAGCATCGCGGAGTAGGCCAAGAAGACGAAGGCCACCGCGAGAGCTGCAGCAAGAAGGAAGAAGAGAAAAACCTCAAATTTTGGTGATGTATTTTTTACATACGAATGATACTTTTTCCGTTTTTTACTATGTAATGTAACTTGTATGTAATTTGAATTCCGATTACGAACAGGAACTTATGTAATGTAAATATTAGGTTGGAGTTGATGTTATTATGATTCAATTGGTTTTGCTTATTTCATAAGACTGATGTTGTGCAATGAATGAATGAATGGAAAGATTATTTGTTTTATTCAATTGGTAGTGTATTTTTTGTAAGAATGAGAACGTTATTTGTTATATTCAATGAATAATGGTTACATTTTTGGGTTGTCACCATTGAGAAGATGAACAAGTTAAGAGAATGTGTATTTCTCCTAAAATAAATTTTGTCAACATTTTTGTAATAAAACTTAATACATAATATACGAAGTCACTAATTTACTAAATACTCATACAGGCATGAAAACAACATAATTGAAGTTACAAATGTAACAGTTTACAAAAAACATAGGTAGTATAGACATAAGTCTCCCACAAAAATACATTCTGGACACCATAAACTGAACACATAATACATACATCCTGGACACCCTGAACTGAACACACAATACATAAACATAACAGTTAGACAGACAATTATTAGGCAGATAATCTGACAAACTCATTACGAAAACACTTAGTCCAACACAGACATTACATATTAATGCATGACCTAATATTGCCGAAGTGTAGACATTAACACCTAATTCGCGCTTAAATCGACAATCTCAGAGTCTGAATAATCCGAAAGCTCAGCGTCAGAGACAAGTTCAGGATCCTCCATGATACCCTTGATAGTCGCAACATTTGGTTCTGTTCTGTTCTTCTAGGCATCCTTCTTAACTATGTATAGTTGCATATCGCGGGCTAACCTACGACGCATTTGAGAAATCTTACGTTGTAGTCTTTCACATAGTCGATCAACATTATCAGGATCTTTCTTTTGGATCTCAACAGAACGTGCTTTTGGCACCTTCAGTCGATTTTCCCGACATAATCTTTCCATTTGCACTCGCTCTATAAATAGTGCGAGCCACTTCAAAAGTCTAGCGTCTGCTAAACCATATCCTGTTTGATTATCAGATGGATTCATACATGAACCTCCTTGAACTGGATAATACTTGGGCATCCAAAAATGTCGCTTCCCAAACCTATTACGATAACCACAAGCATAATCTAAAACAGGTATTGTTGTTTCGTCTTCAGCATCGCCACGTCCCCTTCCCCCTCCTCGTCGTGAACTGTCACCCCTTTGCAAGTTCCTACCACCTCTGCGATTCCCACTCCCTCCCATGAATCGTGTAGCCATGCTAATTTTTTTAAACAAATGAATGATAATTTCGTAGGGCGAAATGAGTTGTAAGGTTGTGTCTTTACCTTTAGTCGTTTATATAGTTGGTTATGAACGACTTTGGAAAGACATTGAAGGAAAAATCATAGAAAATAAATCCCTCTGCACGTATACGAACAAGGTATGAGTTGTCACTACAATAAAAAAACAGAGAAAAGCAAATACTGTGTACCAAGTCACGTGACTTGACAATCCATCTGCATATACCGACAAAATAAAGGCATGCTCACTGTAAGATAAATCAGTGAATTCACTGTTGCCATATGACTTTCTGAATTGACAATCCCAGATATATCAATAAGAGATGAGTTGTCACTGTAATCAGAAAATAGAGAAAACCAAAGCCTGTGCACCAAGTCACATGACTTGACAATCCATCTACATATACCGACAAAATAAGGGCATGCTCACTGTAAGGTAAATCAGTGAATTCACTGTTGCCATGTGACTTTCTGAATTGAGAATCCCACATATATCAATAAGAGATGAGTTGTCACTGTAATCAAAAAATCGAACAAAAAATCAAGAAAACCAAAGCCTGTGCACCAAGTCACATAACTTGATAATCCATCTGCATATACTGACAAGTCTCTCCACGATTTGACTACTCAATGTGTGAAAAAAGAAAGCTTATGTAGGCAATGTTGTGTTTCACTTAGCGATGCATCATTTGTTGTTACGACCAACTATTTGTATTTCATTGAAAAGTATGACTATTTGAATTTTTGTTGTTATTTGGAATTATTTAAAATCAACTTTTGAATATTCAATTTGTAATATTTTGAGAAACATTTACAACATCAACTGAACATTGGTCGTAACGTACCCATCCGCAGATCAATCGTAACAAATTTGTAAATCCCACGCACGCCCACTTAACCCCATAGGTATGGAAGATTAATTGTTATTTACATTTTTTCTGAAAATCACTCGTAATAAATTTGCAAATCTCACAAACAACCACTTAACCCAATAGTATTGGAAGACTAGTGTATGAAAATATTGTTGGAATTAAAATGTATATATTAAAATAATTGTGGAGCCATTTTAAATCCAAAACTTACTCGGTTTTCTAATTTTCAAGAACAATTTTTTGGAAATTATTTAATCCCCCAACTGGACCAACCACTTGGCTTTGAACTTGTTTGTCCTGCCCTCAAGTTTAGTTTTCTGTCAACCCCCCATTCCTGACCAGAGTCATTATTTTGACTGGACTTCCAAGAATTGGAAGGTGACTCTTTCGTCTTTCCTGATGCAGATTGAAATTCTTTACGTAGAGGATCCCTATTTGACGAGCCCAGTTAAGGGAAGCTTTTCACCAAGCTATCTATTTTGTTTTATGTGTTGTTGAAGGCGGTAGTTCGTTCGTTTGAACTTTATTAGTCCCCAAACTGGACCAACCACCTGGCTTTGAGCTTGTTTGTCAAGTCCCCAAGTTTAGTTTTCTTTCAAACCCCCATTCCCTACCAGAGTCATCATTTTGACTAGACTTCTAGGAATTGGAAGGCGACTCTTTCATCTTTCCTGATGGAGATTGAAATTCTTTACGTAGAAGATCAGTTTTTAAGGAGCCCCAGTTAAGAGAAGCTTTTGACTAAGCTACCTGTTCTGTTTTCTGCGCTGTTGAATGC